TAACACACCAACTTCGATCAAATTTCTAACGCTTATCAAGATTGCAACAATGGTTATAACTCCTACGGCTCCATCAATTTTCATAATAAACGTATAGGCACCTAATCGAATTTTCTTGCATCACCAAAAAACGTATCGGCCTTGCTTGGTTCAACTGGATATTAATAAAAATCTACACCTTCATATTTACTATGCACATTTTTGTGAACAATACAAAATATTCTTGACTAATGATAGCCAAAAGATACTCATACACGTACTCATTGCACGTAACAATAAGTGATTAACATCGTCAAATTAAAGTAACGGTTGGCCTTTTGAAATGAAGACGTCAATCATCTCACTCGGGTAACATTACGTTTGTATTCAAAAATAATTATACTATTAAAGCACATATCGAATTTTGGATATTTTTGCTTTAATCATTAAGTTTTAATGCTTTTTCAACCACCTACTAAAGTACATTTATAATTTTTATTATTGAATATAATCAACCAAAAGAGAATATTTAAGAAAATATTTGTTACAAGTTTTCATTTAACTGTAGTTGTAAGTATAGATAAAATATTAAAAAAAGCTACATTTATATTGCAATTTATTCTAATATACTTGATCGAATCTCGTTAATAATAATAGGTATTCAGAATAAACTTATAATATATACTAAATAATACTGTTATAATAGATTCTGAATTATATATTTGCTAATATATTATTTATGATACTTCAAAACTGTTCTAAAACTTTTATTTGCTAAACGGGTCGAGTAGGTAAAAGATTTATTTAAATAATTTATTTCCACATAAAATATTTCGATAGACACACCCTCCGATTCGTCTAAGCACACTATATATATCTACCATATACATAATCGTAGCCTCTTCCAAAAACTGTGTATTTTAATATCAATAGTAAACCTATTAAAAGTACGATTTACAAAGTTTACGAACCGTGAAAGTGAAGCTCACGATATGGGGATCATTATAAAACTGGATACCCCTGCACCATTTGCTACATCCTGCCAAAAACAGCCAGAAATTAGTCGACATTGACTTCTCATGCCAAAAATGCATAATTACTAGACTCTTTAAGTACACTCTGGGTTAAAAGAAAGTAAAAATACGAAGAAAAACATTTTTCAATGTAGCAAAACAGAACTGTGTACATTAGTCATAGGGTGATTTAAAAAAATATATAAATTATTATTATTAATGTCCATACTGAATAAGATGTATCCTCATAATCCGGAGGAAGAATGTTATAATAGATAATATTTATTTTTAATGAAAAGGGAAGGTTTTGTTTTGAATTTTAAGCAAACAATAATAATGAATATGTGATGCGCGTAACACGTGTGCTGGGTATTTTTGGTTTTTTAAATAATGCGTGTAAAATAATAATACGTAAAAATAATGTATAAAATGTAAAAATGAAAGTTAAGTTTTTGAGTTTTCTTTTACAACTCCTATTGTTATTACGAAAAATACGAGACATAAAATGTACTATAATATATTAGATTTAAAAACACAATTTACACCTTCTAAAATTGTTATGTGCTGAATGAAATACAAGAATACTATACAAACTTTTAATATAAATAATACAGATGTGTTAAGAATAAAAAGTGTTATTTTAATTGTATGGTCTGTATTGTTTATAAACTATTGTTTATTAGACCATATGAAATGTACGATGGTTGTGAAAGAATTATTATAAATATTTAGTATGATTCCATTATTGTTTCTCTATAGTCTATTCTATACAAGTATACACTATAGATAAGTTTTACAGAAATATATAGAATAATGAAAAAATAAAACAAAATGTTTAAATCATTATTAAAATCTACTGTAGTTACAACTACTTATTGAAATTTATGGGTTCTAGTATATGTTTAAATTGAATATGGTTTATTAAAATAATTTATTTTTTTTTTTGACATAAAAATAAAAATATTTTTTAAATATGAAAATAAAACCACTAAATATAATGCATTGGCATTATAATATTGTTAAAAATAATACTTTATTATATTTCTGTAAATCTGTAACAACAGTGTCTTTATTCTGTTACCACTGGCAATCTTATGTGTTCAGTTTTAGTAAAAATTAAAAACTTATAGGTATAGTAGTATAAAACCATTAGTTTACAATTTATAGACGTTATATAAATGAAGTAAGTCGAGTCGAATTAAGTTTAATATTATGTTTTCATTATTAGAACAAAATAATAGTAACAATTAAAACAAATGGTCATCAAGACGACTGTCACCCGAGCCAGAGACCGCTGTATAAATGAATTTCTCTTTGATGTTTGAGTTACTGTTACAGGGGACTAAACTAGTGAACAGTAATACCAACATTTTTTCTTGCCAATTTAATTGAAAATAATAAAGTAAGCAAGTACATGTAGTAACTATAACTTTTTTCATTTTAGTTTCAAGCACGCACTCTTGGATATAAATATTTGTGCTTGGTAAATACAACTATCGTTATTGAGTGTGAAACTCATTGTTGTTTTTAAAATAAGTGACGTGATCGTATGAGAACATTTTGTCAGTAAAGTTGTTATCCGGACGTATCCGTATCCCGAAATTTGTCCCCAAAATAGAGACAAAAACGAAATAAAACATTTGTCACAAGAATCCAAGTACAGACCAAAACAGTACGTATTTGTGACCTCGCCGTATGAATAAATAATTCGATTTCGAATCTAAGTAATAATAGATGCCGTGTAAAGATCAGATTTCCATACACTAGTAATATTTTATTGGTAAATCAAAAAGTAACGGACGTATAATAAAGCACCCAGCTAAAGGTTTTACGACTCGTTTATCGTGACCAAACTCGTGTAAAGGTATCCTCTATTATGCAGTCTTGACCGCGTACACAATGGATTATCCCGTTGCCGCCGCAATGCCGCATATATATATGCATTATACATAATATTATAACAATGTTATACTATAGCCCTCTCTAAATGTAAACATCGAACTTTATATTTTCAACGTTTATCAAAAAACAAAAATAATATATTACACTGCGCGAAGGTATAATACAATAAAACTTTATTGTTAAACACTCATGTTGCTGTTGTTTTTGTTGTGATATAACACGAAAGGTTTTATCAATACCACAGCAGTATAAAATAATATTGCGATATGACTATTATTATACCACCGTGGTACGCATGACGTATCTAAACTTTCGTACCCTCTGTCAGATGGAAATGTACACCGAATTAATAGTGAGTTCAATGCGGTGCGCTATTAAAACGGCAAATCAACATCGCCCCCCCCCCTCCCCTGCGTACGTTAACTAAACGCATGTCTACGAAAATCAGACGATTATGTTACACGATGAACCTTAGTTTGATGATGGTAGGACGACTATTTTTGATATTAGCGTAATACAGGTGATGCGCCGCAGACGGCATTTTGTATTAAAATAAATATCGAACTTTACGCGTGCGTTTGACAAAACATATTCCTCCTTCCGTTGATACAAACAGATATCGATTTTCCCTGTTATTGTTATGAAAATGCATAAATAAGTTGTTCTTGCTATGTTTAAAAATATGTACCTACAGACTAAAGTAGTTAGAAAGTTTTTCATCTTTTATTTATTGTTTTTTTTTTGTTTTTACCACGCAGTCTAACTTTTTCCCTGTATGTCTATCGGCAGGAAGATGTGAGTATAGATAGAATTCTGATCCAAAATAAGTAAAGTATTATTTTAAAACATAATAGTATCACTTGCTAAGAAATTTAAATAAAAAAGATATGAATATAATTTACATTATGTGTACACATCTATGCGCAATACACACCTGCCCATATGTTATTCTGGTGTATTTTTATACGTAATCCGGCGAGTTGAACGCGCCTTAAAAGTTAAAGTAACGCGCCAGTGTTTAATAGAGATCCCTCCTCCAATAAAACTAAAAACACATCTGCAGGCTAATCTTTTATTTAGTACTGCTCTTGGCTTTATCTAAACCAAACAGGTACGAAGACACGAAGTAGGCCATTGTAACGATGTACTTTTCCTGGAACTCGTCGCAGAATCACCACTGGCATACATATATATATATATATGGCTTAACAGTAGTTCGTAAATATTTAAATGCGCTTAACGAACTCCGCGAAACGCAATAATATGGCATAAGCAAATATATGTAAACTATGTACGCGTACAATAATATATTTAAGTGTGTGTGTGTGTGTGTGTGTGTGTGTGTGTGTGTGTGTGTGTGTGTGTGTGTGTGTGTGTGTGTGTGTGTTTGAGTGTGAGGATGTGGGGTAGAAGGGCGCATTCTAATAGTATCCCAGAGTATCATTCCGACGTTTATATTTCCATCCGAAATATTCTTCGAGTAGAAAATCGCAGTGATGATCATTTATTATACATAAATATATAGCTTGAATTATTATTTTATTATAAAAGTCGACTAAGAGTAAGTTGTCTTACATATTCTGGTACCTAAATGTACGGCGGAACCGCGTGGACTTACTACCATCGTAGTCCGCATAATTATATTAGGCATGTATGAATTATCGTTCACGGCAAAAACTTAAAAGCTACCGCCACCGCCGACCTTCTCGCAAAACGTTTTTAATCTCGAGCGACATCACGCGTACCGGCTAATTGTATTAAAAATTTTCCGCATTAATAGATTATAATAATAATGGTAAAAAAAAGGCGCACAGATCTAATGATAATGAACCCCGCGATTTGTCATGCGCCATATCCGACGATAATCCCGTTACCATATATATACAGCCGGAATTTGTCACCCTACCATGATCGGAACTTTTTCGCGGCATGATTAATTTTTGTTTTCTCATTGAGGACATATTATATTATTGTTATTATCATTAATGACCCCCGGAAACTCGAAGACCCGATTCACCACGGTGTATGGTCCACTGCAGACATTCAAGGGCAATCGGCAGTACCTGGGAAACCGGGACGTGCCTCGTTTTTTTTCAACCATCGGTCAGTACGTTATTTGTGCTTAAAGTGTCTGTGTGTCGCCCAAGAATTCCGTCGATATAAACGTGAGTAACACTCTTATGTTAAATTGTATTAAAATTATTGCCAGGCACACTATTTTTTTCGCTATTGTTCTCATATTGTCGTTCTTAGTAGACAGTGCAGTATGCTGTTTTCCCTAAATTACGAGCACATATGTCGGTATAACGAATAAAATATGTGTTTGTTATTGCTGTGAGGTCAAATTTCTATCGATTTACAGATTATCAGTATTCAATCTCTGTTGTAAAATCAAATCGTAAAATAGATTGAAAAGTAGTTATAGTGTTTTGACTTTCGAGTATGGACGCAAAACATGTTCTGATCAATTTTAAATATCTAACATTACATAGAATATAAAACCAGCGTTTGAATTGTTTTGATTGTGTAATATTAAACCAGATCAAACAGTCCCAGGAAAGTATCCCGATACTATCAGAAAATGTATACCTCTTATGATTTATAATTTATTCAACTGTTATACGTTATACGTATTATGTTTTTATTTTTATTCTGTTATACTTTATTCAGAATATATATATTTTTTGTATAATGTATTAAAACTGTTTATAAAAGTTTTTGAATTAAAAAGTTAGGCAAGGTTTATAGCTGCGTTAAAAACAGAAGTTTTTGATCAATCAAACTAAAAAAAATACATTTTTAAAAATAAATATTATTTTTTGTTAGAATTAAAATTATATTTTTTAATAATGCTGGTATACAATTCACGTTTTATTTAAGAACCAAATAGTTGTCTCTCTATAAACATTTTTTTCTTTACCGAGTAAACAGTTTAATTTATAAATTTATAACATCTAGTTTAATTGAAAGTAAACAAAAACGGTATTTTTTTCTGTTAATTATAAAAGTAAGTAATTTACAGAATAATTTATAGTAGCATAAAATGAATAATAAGTAGGTGTGTAATTCGTTACACAATAAGTAATTGAAGGTAAACTCAGGAACTGTGACAGTGAAATTAAATTACAAACATTTTTCGTGAAACTAAATCCAAAATATAATTATTGTAATTACCAGCAAACATGAATATTTTTAAATTTTAAATATAATTACAAATTCATAAGAACAATCGATTCGTTTCTCAAAAGATAAAAATACCAAGCACGTTTCTGACAAATATGTTAACGGCTATCCTAAAATATCGAAAGATAGAAGCTAAATAACCATTGGCTGATGTGGTGTTACTATTTTTCAGTTAAGTTCTATAAATTGGGGATTAATTGAGTTCATCGATACCTACATCACGAATATGACATTTTCTCAAATCTGCACAGTAATATAATTATAATGACTGGTCATGCTTGAGATATTCTGTAAAGTGATTTATTTCTAAATGATCGTCGGAAAAAAATGTTGACTCGCCGAAGTTTGAATCTCTAATTTTAATATGAGTTTATAAGTACACAACAATCCTTTTCTACAAAAGGAGAAAAAAAATTAAAATTGAATAGAAAAAATAATAACCAGACTTATGGTGGACTCGCATAGTGAGTTTTATTAAAAAAATCTTTATGTAATTAGACACTGAATTAGCAGTCAACGATAGTTTTATTCAAACTCCAATGTTAAAGTCAAATATTTTCGCATCGCGAAACATTTTTTTAAAACTATTTTACACAAACCAAGTAGTTTGCGTAAAAACAGGCAGAACTGACTGAATTACAGATTGTAATATTAATTTTAAAATGTTCATTACATCTATACTTATTAGTTATTACTATACTGAGGTTCTAACTAAATTTAAATGTATTACCATCGTTTAATTGTAAGTTGTAACTCTTTATTTTGATCATTTGATTTTTAATAAAATCCGTTGTAAAATATATTTTAAGATCATTAAGGTAATTAATAGTATATAACTAAGTCTTATATTTGTTTGATTAATTAATTAAATTTAATGTTCATACACTAACATAACACAAAGCACACTGTGATGAAATTCTCAACCCTGAACCAAATCAAACACATGTTTCGTCGTGTGTATCTATATAAATGCAATTAATATAATTTGCACTTTCGCATAAGAATAAAATATATGAAATTTTAAATGTGAATCAGTCGTCTATATCGGCCTGATATACAGCGTGTATATACAAACATGGTTTAATAATACGGCGCTGCTATGACGGCCACCATAGCGAATTTATATTATATTATTATTATTTCAAATAAAAATGTGCTTGCGATTTAACAAATTTTATACCTCCCGTCGGTTCGAAGCAGCCGAACATAATATATAACGTATTGTTTCATAACGCTGGACGTTTTCATAATTCATGCGGTCTACAAAGAGAGAGAGACTGAGAGAGAGTGGATGAGTGAGTGTGTGTGTGTGTGTGTGTGTGTGTGGGAGAGAGAGAGAGAGACTATATGGTTAATATTTTACAGTGGCGTGAGAAATTTCCAAGCCCTCTGCCCCGCCGATCGTAAATTATACCAGTGTATATATTTTAGTTTTATATTTTTCGAGTCCCCGAGAAGACCGCCGCAATAATAATAATAATAATAATAATATAACGTGCACGCCCGCGGCCCATCGGACGCGAATTTATTCGGCGTGCGTGCGCGTCTCTCCTGCACCAGCACCCCGACACCCCTGACCCACCGCCGCCGACGTCGGGCGATAAATAATTTAACCGGATTCGAAACTGCAAATATTTTTTATGTCCGGTAATTGGCCTAGCCGGTCGTTACGGGGATAACCGGATGCCGCGTCTGCCACCGGGCCGACCCGCGGTACATATACTGCGTTGAAGTCTGATTGATATCTCAGACCGGAGACAACGGAGACGAGCGAAGATCCGTCCGATAGTTGAAACGGTTTGTGTTTCGTTAGTACGTGTCGGGAAATCGTTTTTCTCGCAATCGTTTTGCCCTTATTGGCTTTCGTAGGGCGTATATACGTATACACAACCGTTGCTGCGCACTTACTTTTTGTTAATCTCCACGCCCCCCCCCCTCCACCACAGCGTAAACGAACTTCTGCACTACCTATCAGATATAATATATTATAAGGTAACCCACTATCGTTCCCTATCTAGATTGGGGCAAAAAACTTCCAACAACTCCACGTTATCTTTTTTTGATCCTCGCAGGCTGCAATAACGAACGCAGCGCATATCGTCGGCTGCTCGATTTCTCGATGTTTCTCTACTTATTCCAACCCCGACATAATATTACCTATATATAACAATATAATACAATATGACGAATACGAATATAGGTTAATACTAATCACCAACCCCTATCCATATTACAATGTTATTGCTGACGGGCCACTGCAATTTAGTCGTCGGAATTCCATTTCTTTCGTCACACCAATATCTTCTTTAATGCACTTGGTGAATTAATTTTTTAACGATGAGCCATATTTGTATAGGTACCTACAGAAATTGTACGTTGCAGTGCACGCTAGCCACAAACCGTTTCTTTAGACAACGATCGAGGAGATTGTTTGATCAAGAATCAATAATTTTACAGAAAAAGCTATATAAATTGCTAAAATTGTGATTTTTTAAACATTTTTTTGGTTATGTCATTTTAGGTTACTGGTCTTTTTTTAACTTTTGAAAACGCGATCAACGCATCATTTCAATGTTTCAGTCTAGCGATGTAATGACATCCAGTGTGCCTTTAGCTCCGGTAGTAGAACTTTTATTATTATTTTTTTTATTACTTATGTTGCACAGACACCTGTCATCCCTGGGGATCCGACAGACAAACAGCCAACCACTGAAACCTGCAATTTTACTAGTCAATATATCGGTCGGCGAAGGTGTTCCCCAGAGATACATATCAAGTATATAGGTGTATACAATACACATAGGTTAGGTTATATAATATTATGTATGTATGTATAAATGTTCTGAGGAGGATACTATTAACGAGGTACTTAACGGGGGCAGCGGTCGATAAACAATTTTCCTAGTCGCAGGTTTCCTCGATCTCGATCCATTATGTATAGACATACTACCACCTGCCGCTCGTTCAATATGAATTAAAAGTCAAAAGTCGACCTTGCAAATAACAACTCTTTATCACAAAATTCGTGATTTTCATTTTTATATAAATACCTAATATTATAAAAGGCACATATTATCCATCATCTGATACGTTTTTATTTCATGCTTACGTTTATTATTTTCAATTGACGATAGTTTTATAATCAATGCACGAAAGCGCAGTCTATAATATAATGTCGTCGTTGTAGGAAACTATGTGAAGAAAATAGTTTTTTTTTTAGTATCACCCTTTAAATACCTCGTTGATAATGTATTTCTGAGAAAATTAATGTGAATAAAATATGTATAAAGATTATGTAGATATAGGAAGCTGCAAAATGTAAAGTAATCCATAAAAAGGTCGAGAGATTTCCGCTTAACCTGCCGGTACCTAACTATATATATTTTAAGGATCGGTAAATGGTTCGTGGTGCCGCCGTAGCGGCGAAACAATATATTATTGTTGCTGTTGTTGTTGCTCAACATTAGGTTAATTGAATTCGTCTTTCTTCCCCCTGCTCGCTCACTGTCCCTCCCCCCCCCCCCAAAACTTACTACCCGGCCATGGACACGCACGCACGGGTCTTGCAAGTTGCAGGCATCTTCACGGTTTGGCTGTCAGACACGCCGGCAAGGACGACTACTCGCCGTCATGGTGAGCGCCCTCACAGCACGCCGCGTGTGAATTGGCCACGACCGTGATCTCGATCTTTCGCGAACCACGAGAGACCAACAGATGCGCGTGAAAATGTAATAATTGTGTCGATCGCCAAGTCCGGGCCAAACAACCGTGAGCGATAATTATCGTGTGACAATATCACCGTCCAGGTATAATATTATAATATTGATAGTACCTATTCGATCGTCTCGAAAACCCGCGAAATATCGGTCATGGTTTTTAGACGAAGAAATTCCCACCGTCCTGGGTACCGCATTCACAATCATGGTCCGCATACGGTTAAACTGTTTCTTCTTTTACTCTTATGCAGTGCAATATACATGCAAAATATAATATTACGAATTCATTGTCAATGCATCCAAGCGTAATTTTTTTTACGTAAGCCATTAAATAGATAAGAAAAAAATGAACAAAGGCATACACAAAAACAGTATAAGCCGTTCCGAAAACATATAACATACATTCCTCTTAAAATGTAGTACATAATAATATAGATATGTAATCAAACGTGTAGTTTTCAACGCCAGAAAATATATATTATTTGTTTTGTATTCATGCAATCGTTTTTAAAACGATGTTGTAAATCGAATTCTTACACATTTCGTTGAACACCTAGTTTTAATTTCTCGTATGAGTGAAAAAGACCTAACTAAATTAAAAGTATTCCGGTATTTTATTTTATTTTTTTCTTGTACGACGTATAGTTATACTTATAATTATAACAATAATAATATCACAATAATAACAGTAGGTATAGTATATTAAAATAGAACAACATACTTTTTACGTTATGGCAAACAGCTGCGGCAGGTTTTCCGTGAAATTCCTTATGGAAATTTGTCAATAGTTATTTCGTATTCATCCATATTGACATTATCTAATATAACGATTAGTCATTTAATAAAATATAATTTAAAACTTCCGCATTTTTCATAACTTAATATGAGTTTGTAGACGATTCGATTAGCTTTCGGTGGCGGAATAGTTTTGCACGAGCAAAATTTGCAGTATTCCTTCGCGAGTATACCGATTATCAACGGAAATGTGTTTGGAACAAAGTTAATGCCATGATAAATTATCGAAAGTACGGCGAACGGTGCATGGGTAATCATTACCATTTTGCGAAACAAATTAAGCTGTTTGGACGGTTTTGGGCCACCGCGAAACGATTTTGCCACATCGGTTTTAAATTGCATTAAGTTTTCGACCTTCGACATACTTTTGTTTAAGTTTAAATATTTGTCAATCGTGCCAATCATCATGCCATAAAAATTTTTTAGAAAACAAAATGGTTCATTAAGAATATTAAATAAACAAATAAACAATGACAGTAAGTAATAAACAATAACAACAAGATCGGCTCAAGCAATATAAAATAAAAATGTAACCGCCAACTGGCGTATCGCGTTGTTCGTGTGTGAGTGTGTCGTTTATAGCAATATATAGATAACAATATAATAACATATATAAGTAATATAACAAGTAAAAGACATCGCGTGTTATCCAAAGAAGTATAGAGAGATGAAAAGAAAAAATAAAGATGAGTAGTAGCAAACGTACCTAGTCTTCTAATTCTGAAAAGTAGGTAATGCAACTGGAGTATTGCCGAGGATTCCATTATTTATTTTGGTGATCCCTTCAACTCCGTACAGTGTATGGAAGAACTTTGGCAAACAAACAAATACAAATACATTAAACAAAAAAAATGGTTGAGCTGGAGAAGAAAATCATTTGGTGTATTTATTATTATTTCACACAGTTATAGGTACTACATAGGTAATAATAAAAAACTATATTATGATATTATAGTATTGGCCGAGCACGTTTGTCCGGGCGCGTTGGTGCCACCGATCGGTTGCAATAATAATTATTGTCACTGCCACGTATAATATAATATACATTGTAAAACGTGTTTGTCGGGGTGGAAAATAAAAAAAAAATCATACAGTCACGCTGCTATACATTTGACATAGTACGAGAAATGTATGAATAATCGGAGTGTTCGATTATACGAGTGTGTGAGGGTACGTAACACTATATTTTAATGAATATTAAATATATTATTTTAAATATATGTGTGTATGTGTGTGTGTGCGCGTGTATCGCTTGCAGTACGATAATGTGTCCCGGCGAAGGGTCGTCATTTTATCTTTTTTAATACCTATACCTACCTATTAATATCGAGAATATAGGAAAATCAATAATAAAACTGTTATTTGAAAACTATTGTGTTATTATAAAACACTGTGGCGTGGCCTATATGGCTGTATAAATAATTTGGCATATCGCACATCGTTTTGAAAAAAAAAAAAAATAACAAAAGCAGTATTTTTCCGGGGCATTACATTTTTCTGACAGTCGAGAGAATGCATATCGGTTCGAAGTATTGAGTTGTCTCCGTCTTATAAGAATGTGGAACATAGAAAGTTCAGCCGAACCAATTTTGTGTTATTACTATATTATTAGACATTAAAATGAACTGATCAGCTGTTATCGTAGTATTTTATTTTTAATAAATTTTAAAGATATTTTTAATTTTAAAGAGAATGACAACAATGTAAATTATTATTATTTCATATTTTTAAAATGTTCATAACTCGTTTAAAATTAAAATATCAATAAAAGCTTACAAATCAATATATTTTGTACTTTTAAATTTGATAATATTGGTCGACTGTTCACTCTAATAATACTAGTTAATCAATCAACTGCCTATTGCAGGTCCAGCTGAACGCAAAATATATTCGACAATATTCGTTTGTAAGAAGGTGACCAACACATGCGGGTGAGGTGTCCTCATATTATAGACTGCGACTTTTTTGTAATCCCGGGACATAGAAATGAGATGAAAAGTTTCTCAGTACTGCTACTACTACTACTAGATACTACTAATACATGTTACTACTATAAAATGACGTAGGCATGTGTATTCGCATTAAAACAATATACGCACATAATATGTGTGTTGTAATACGATGACTGTCGAGTCGGTGACCGGAGAGATGATAATATTATGCGAAGAAAAGTAGGTGCAAGTACGTACGTATTTCGTGATTTTCCTCGCGTCTTCCACATGATTCAATTTGGCGAAAAAGCTTTTAGACAAATTATACAACAGAGGCATAGAGCGTACAGCGCAGTACACGTCTCGGCGGCGGCGGCGGCGGCGGCGGCGGCTCTCCTATACCGTCGGGTTCAGGGATGCATTACTATACTGGGCACCCATTTTCTCGGGCCAAAAATCACCAGACCCATTAGACATAAGTTACAATATACGCGCGTCTGTGTGTATGTGTGTGCGTATTTTTACACTGTATGGTTGTGTACTATGCACTAGATCGTTCCCGGGGCTTTAATGTCGTATGGATTTCTCGGTGGATTTTAAGTCTATACAGTATATGCCGCCGCCGAACCACCCCACCCCCACCTACACCGCCGTTGTCGCATATCGTGTTTGACGACGAATACCCCACTCTAGTCACACGACCTTGATGGCTCGTCGCCAGCTAAAGTTTATTTTACCCAAACCATAATAATAGAGTCATATAAAGATACCGATTTAGGCGTTTAAGATATCCAACGCTATGTGGTATATAGTATATACCATAATATAATGGTAATAATATGCTCTTGAAACCATTCAACAATCATCATTATAAATTATAAAGACTACTGTTGACTTCCCGAAATTATGATAAATAATTATACTATTATTAAATTAAATAATCATTGAAAATTGCAAGTTTTATTTTTACACTCATTCAAATGATTCGGTAATAGGGAGGTATACACGTGTATAAAATTAACATATTATTATAAAATGATAAACAAAAAATGTCCTATCTTCTTATTGATTCGGCCAATTTATTATATTAAAAAACCTCCCCTATTGAATAGTATTAATCATTTATGAGAGTCAAAGATTAATAATATTAAAACAATATCAGTATTTGGAAATAAATTATCTACGTAAAAATCAATTCACAATTTATACATGCATACATATTACATACTATTTCCAGCTTTGTATTTTCACAATACAAATAATAAAGAATAAACTAATGTACGTATGGACCTATGTACGCAATATTATATTCATACTATATTCAAAGGTGTTATTAAGATAAACTAATATTAAATGATAGGATCAAACGCCATTTGCCTACTTTAAAAATAAGTGATCGTAAAAACTTGAGAAAAATCTCGAATCGTTCATTTTACAACTATCCGCATATTGCGTTGTGTTAATTTTTAATTTTTGCAGTTCAGTCTTTACGTTTAAACCAAAGAACAATTATTTCGATAAGCTTTTATCAGTCTTTATTGCATTTAACTGTCGCTCATTTGAAGTATACCCGTTCAAAAGATTTGTATTAATCGTTTCGTATAAATATAAACGAGTATTAAACTGCAAGGTATAATATTAAAACGTGACATTTTCAATTTGTTCAAAGAGATTTCCTACAAGCATTTTGTTGGATAATTGGATGGCAGAATTAAACAAACGTTCGTCAAGTTATCTGAATAAAACAGAAAATACTTCAACACGCATTACTATTACGATAATATCATGTACAAACGATAAATTTAATAAACTCACGCAAGCTCGGAAAACAAACTAAATGGGATTAATTGGAAGATGAACGAATGATGGTGTGTGCAGTAAACGATTCGAAATTATATAAGGTCCTCTTACCCGAAATGGCATCAGAAAAAAAATGATTTATTTTACGTCAAATTATAAATTATTATTAAGTACAAAACCCACTATTCAGAAATATCGAAATCAATCAATACAAAATGTAGTATGAACAATAATTGGTTTTTTTAGTTGTATCAGTTAGTACCTACAGTGTGAAAAAGAAAAACACTTAGGGTATATTTCGTGGTATCGAATTTTTTTTTCTGCCTCCTTACTAATATTGTTTTTCTTATTTCTCGAGGTTAAAATTATATGGGTATACGCGGACAGTGACGTTTATTTTTCTACACAGAACCGGAAGTCAAGGTGTTCGCGGCTCGATACTATTTTATGAATTATTATACATATTATATTCACGTGGCACGCATAATATTATGTTTTTCTGATCGTAAACAGCAAAATGTTGGACAAAATAACGGCGGGATGTGTACGAGCAGCTCGTCGAAACGTCGTCAGCAATCAAACCATATACCTAATATGGATCGTCGACCAGCCATGTACCGGGTTTTCCGAGACCATTTTAGTAGGCGTATATAGGTAATAATATCTCGTGGAAGGATCGAGAAGTCACGTCTAATGACTTTGACGTCGCGTTCCCGGTAAACCGAGTTCACTACGTGGTGCAATCGTTGGCGTTTATCGCGGCAGACCGTTCGGGATGATTAACGACGGACGACCGAGCGTGTGGAGGCACAACGCTTTTGAATCCGATTTTACGCTCAATATACCGCTCGAGCGACACATCACTGCACCGTAATTGCGGACGACAGTTGACGTGGTTCGATCCGAGTTCTGTGGCACACACGGGATGAGCGTTTACGGGCAATTTGTCACCGCCGCCGACGTTATTCGACACTTGCTGCAACGGTGGGCGAGCGGGAAAAAAATCACGAGGTGTTTTCCCGCGAGTGTGTAAAAAATACGTCCGCCGAATTCCCGGGCGTGCCATTAGCATTGATTTCCCGCCGAAATCCCCTGCACTAGGTATGGGTAGGCAGATAAGTCGTAAGTGTGTTGCGACGTAACATATTATGCGTTATGACGCCGACATGAAACGCGACCGGGTGCTGGTCCGCCGGCCGTTTTCGACCGACGCGCTTAATGAATGTAATATTATTATTATTACTTATTGTTATAGGATTTGTCGCGTTGTAGTATTTCCGTCAAAACGTGGTGCGTATACACATATTATATATAGGCTCGTCTCTGAGAAACCGCGGACGGATCGATCGAAAGGCGACACGAAAGGAAGCCGTTGTTTGTGTTACAGGTGCGATACGCGCATATCATAAAGGATAACGAAGGGCCTAAACATAATATTACGGGAGATTATAAGCGCCCGGTACAAAGCTGCCCGCACAAAAGACCCAAGAGTGACGACGACGAGACGTAACTATCGCCGTTGTTATGTTATTATTATATCGTTATAACATGCGACAAAAGCGGAGTGCCATATCGGTTGCCACTTGTCGCGGATGCGCGACGCTTTTGTTCGGCTCAAACGAAGACGTTTTACCGTTTTGCACGCGCGCACGCACGCACGCGTGCGTGTGTGTGTGTGTGTACAATGCTTGTCGGATCCGGACAGTCGGCAAACAATATTCCCGAGGATTAAAGGGTTAAACCTTTCGACAGTTTCTTGACCCTTTAAGAACGGCCAACAAGACAGTGACGGTGGTTGTAGTTGTCGGTGATGGTGGTGGTAGTGGGGGAGATGATGGTGGTGGCGGAGGTGGTGGTCCGGGGTTTAAGTCGAGTTTGTAGAGGGATTTATTTCGGACGACAATTATTTTTTTTCCCAACGTGTAATTTGACGACGCTTGTCATGTCGTTGTCGGTCATAGCAATAATGCGAATAGGCCAAGCGGCTTTTCTTTTCTCACATCAGACGGGCAAACAAATTAAAGTATACAAAGTGCGAAATTCTGAGCAGTTTTTGGAATCGAAAAAATCTTCTTATGTTTGACATGGGGACATCTACTAAAAAAAAATGTGTTAGATGTAAGGCGCTTTTAAACCCTTCGACTCCACCGGCCCATCATCTTGAACCGTGTATATATATATAAATACAAGTTTACAACGTTTGTCGATTAATTTTCCTCGTTGTTCTTCTGACTGTGTTCAAAATGACAGGACCAAGATTAGGGAGGACTTAAGCCAGAACACTTGTTGATATTCCGCCGAGATACTACATCGCAAACTAAAAACGAATCATCCTAACGTTTATACGTAGTAGTCCTACCCACGAATGAAGGTCAGCGTTTTTCAAAACTCGTACAAATTCGCTATTTGCGTGGTGATAAAATATTAAAAAGTTGCTTGTGATAATTTTTAGAAATATATAATTTTAATTAACTCTGTGTGTTTGGATCGCATCAAATCTGATCTATTTATGACGACACATTGTGGCGTTAGACCATGATAATAATATCCCTTGACTTTTTGTGGTATGTAACGCGATGCACGGTTTCATGGTTCATACTGTGCTGTCATAAATCATATTGTGTTATTATTTCGAGTAAAATAATCTTCCATATGTGTATGTACAGGTAATACAATATTTTTCAAGTATTTGAACGGTAATAATATTTATAAAAAATACTGTAATAATTTAATAGCGATCCATACGTTCGATAATAGAACTTTTATTTAAATCCACATGCACCAGCTGATTATAGGTGGCTCCGCCCGCCACCGCAGAAAGTTCTATGCCAGGAAATAATTATTATTTGTTTACCACACTATTTAGCTAGTGCCAATATATACTTACTCGCGGTTTTAGATGTGTGGCTTCCCAATAAATAAATCATGTTATGATTACCCAATAAATAGTAGCCACCAACCACCAATTTGTTTGATGTAGTCTGCGGAGGGTACACCTATTTGTCTTTGTAAAGTGGCGGATCTAGGATTTTTTTTTTTGTAGGGAGAGGGCAACATTTTTCATATTGATTTTATCAATCCAATATTCAGGATTGGATGTTAGGTCTTATTTTTCTAATATGAACAATTTAAAAGTATAGTAGAATTTTTATAATCAATCAAATCAAAGATGTATAATCATTATTAATTCATATTATTACAACTACAAATATAATATAACTGCCAAGAGGGGGAGGCAGACCCAACACTGCTTATCTTACCAGTAGATCTAAATAATTAGTTCCTTTCGTCAGTACACAATATAACAACACGTATAAAACTTGTATACGAAAACCGATGCCTCGAAACCGTCTTGAATCTTAAGTACATTTCTTTATATTCACATTTTTAATGGGTTTTCTATTGTCGTACGTTGTAGAGTCAGCCAAGAGTCAGAGAAAGTTGTACAACAGCAGGACGGACACCACCTTCGCCAACTTCGTCATCGCAATAACTGCGGCATAATGTGGATTATATGGTTCTTGGCCACCGCCTGTGCGATGCTTTCCATGCGAGGCGCGCACTCCAACGCCGGACTGACAAGCACCTCTTTCAGCAACGAGCTGCGCACTGGTTTCGCAAGGCTGTTCCAGAACGGCATCGAACAGCCGCTGCAGCAGTCCCAGTTCGTGCTGCTCAACCCCACCGAATTCCAGCCCGGCACGAGCCAGCTTGTACAGCGACCGCCGCCTTTCAGCCCGCTGGCGAGCACGGGTTACCAGTTACCGCGCCCTAGGTACGAGTTGCAGCATCTGTCGTGGGTGATTCCTTATTATTATGTCCCTACCAGGTACCTGCCGCCGAGGGGTGGCAAGCGGCCCAACGACGTGCTGGTGATCGTTGTCAAGACCAAATCGAATTGTACGACCCCAGCGGCCAACGGGACAACACCCGCGGACGGTGACAACGGCGGAGATGATGGAGACGACGGCATCGACGACGACGTAAGCAGCGGTGGTCATCCGTATATGATATACCTAACCATCTAAAGACGCGTTTATAAGGCCCAGAGTTTGTTGACCCCCCCCCCCAAAAAAAAAACTGTTTTTATCTTTTAAAACGTGTTTTTTCCAAGTTTGTTTTTTTTAAACGGTCGAATTGACTTTAACTAACAGGATTACATGGAATAATATAGTAGTCAAGTTTCCTACTTTAATCTTCAAAAAGTGTGTTTGATATGTAAATAATCAATATAATTTATAAGTATTGGTGTGGGCTTTATGACTAGACAATAGTATATTAAACTAATATATACTATGTACTATAATAGAAATAAATAACCAGTTAGATAATAATTATCTCTAGGCACAAAATAACATAATAACATCAGATCACAGAATTGAGATTATTAAAATATAATTACTTATTATTATCATTATTATCATACAAATATATGAGCTTATCGTAGCTTGTGTGCTAGCTTTTGATTAATTTGCAAAATTCCATAAATAAAAGAATATGGCTTGAGGATTTTAAATCTTAGTATGGTCCAGTTTTAGGGTTTTAGCGTTCTAGGGTCATATAGTATCCAAAGACAGAATGTCAAGCAGCGTATATAAAGGTTCTATCAAAAGAAAAGTATATGAACCTAATACTACTCTAAGCATCTGAGTATACGATCCAATCTTATGGCAGATCACCATAATAGAGGACTGAGAAGTAAAGGACAACATTTATTTAAATCAACGTAACCGGTTTAAGGTTTTGTATAATTTGTATACTTTATAGACGAGATTCTATTTGATTTGTACATACTTTGCTGAACTGACATGCTTAACTGAAATTAAGAAATGTCACATATTCGAGCGCTTTGAATAATCCTTACAACATAACGCTTTTGTCCTTCAATGTTTTGACCAATTACCAAGTAGTGCATTGATCGTGATTTTTAGGGATGTTACTCAATGTTGTATGGAGTGAATAAGTCGTAGAGCTCGATTTTATAAAGAGTAATACCAAATGTACCTTAAATTTATGAACGAAATTACATACACGGTGAAATTAATACAAATTTAACACATACCCGATGAATAATAAATGTAAATAATATTTAATTAAACTGATTCAACACTAATACCTGAGTGTCGATATTACTGATGGTTGGGTGGGTGTTCCTTGAAATATATTGCCCGAAGTAAGAAATAACTACTAAAAAAAAAACACGCGACCACGCCTCTGTCTTAGTTTTGGGTGTTTCCGAAACCCCCACGATGAGTTTTCATAAAAAAATTAATAAAATCCATGTGTGTGTGTGTGTGTGTGTGTGCAAGCACTTGCGTATAAAGTGAAAATTATTTTGTAGTGATATCTAGCTGGTATGAACATGAACAATCAAGCAGCAAGGACTTTCATGAACTTTTAAAATGTTAGGTTTAACTTCGTGATACAAAAAATAACTTATTCGTTTGATTCTTGTTACGTATTCTATTTATTTTGTTTACTCTCATTTCATTATAAATTAATTTTAGACACTACGTTTTTAAAATTTTAAATTAAAATCAAATTATTGTCAAAAAATTTTATGTTGTACCATTAGGTGTATTAAAATAAAGTTATAAAATAATTATAGCCTGCAATCGTTTCGATATTTGAACCACCTATTTGAGAAACGACCTATTCGAGTCACAAAATATCACAAATTGAAATATTGAGGGAATGTGTTATCAAATGATAGATGGATCATGTGTACATATTTGCAAAAAGAAATATTTAATATTATCACTGTAAATAATCAGTATGAATAAGGAATAACCATTTGTCACTGGTAGCGCTAAAACAGTTTTTTCTTGTTTTCTCCAAATTATCTTTTATTGACTTAAATGGTTTCTCAAATAGGTGGTTCATTTATAATATTATTATTATAAACATTGATTATTACATAAATATTATAAATTAATTGACTTAAAATATATATAAAAACGACCCACAATCATTATTAAATATCAAAATAGACAAATAATAATAATCATAATCGGATTTATATGATTTATATTTTATTCATTCATTTTTGGTTAATATGGAAATTTCTTGTCATGATCATAATTTCGTTACAAATTTTTTGATAAAAAGTTTCATTTCAAAATTCTGGACGATCGCTCGAACCTGTGCCAGTGTACCATACCCGTTTTTACCGAAAACGTATTTTTTATAAAAAATCAATATGGACAGGAAACTCGCTGTGTATAGCCCACTTTGGCCACTCGTCCGGCCTGCAGCAGCAGTCATCCATATTCATATCCCGATCTCCCGACCCATGAATCGCATGTGCAGGTGTGTGAACCTTATACCAAATTGTGTGCCCACAGGGGCCGAATCCGGACGACGATGTCGAAGAAGTGACCATCGTGGCAGGTGCCACGGAGAAGGGCAAGGAACCGTCCAGGTGCGTGTGGGCCATTCTTTCGTGCTGCGCCCCATCCAACACACCCATCCGGTACACGTGTTTCGACGTGCTGGGCTGCAGCACCGCATTCTGGGACACCAACCCTTGCGTTCCGGCCATCATCAAGACCGCTTTGGACCAGGCCACCCAGTACTACGGTACGACCATGCCCACCAACCGCACCACCACGCCAGTGCCCACACCACCGGCCGTCCCGGCAGCGGCCTCCACCGATAACGTGGCCTCCTTGATGACCGGCACTTCCGCGGCCGCCACTTCACAGGTAGACCAGACCACACCGGCGGCCACCACCGTCGCTTAGTCGCCGTTTTCGTTGCAGTCCACGCTTCGCCACTCGTCCGACAATCAATCACCGACCATATAATATTTTACAGTCAACATTTTACGTATAACCTCTGAAGATTTAACCAAAAATCATTTAGAACCAGAGGGTGCACTTCTGCGTTTACTGATAACTCGAACCTACCTCAACGCAGTAGGACCACGTATATCTTATTCTTTATTTCTCGCAAAAAAGAAAACTGGGCCCACCTGAGACATGTGGGAGACCACATATCAGGAATAAATTATTGTACAACTCCCCCTTTACTATAATATTATTGTACCAAAGAATATGACAATTATTAGGAATTTGGCTCGAGTACCAAATATCAGTGACGTGTAATTAATAATCAATAATTTTTTATAATAACCGTTTTTCTCTACTAGTAGTGATACTGATTTAGAGTAGATATTGATTTGTTTACATTTTTTAGCATTACATTGGTTGACTAAGGAGTGTACCAGATGGTTTTATGTAATCTGTGGTTAAGGCTAACTCAATGGTATATAACGTACATCGTTCACAAAACGTAGCTAAAACATAAAGCAGCTCATGTCTTAAGCAACTCATTCCGCAAACCAATACATCTCGACATGAATAAATTATAAAATATTATATTTAATTGATTTATCTGTTAAGTGAAATTTGTAGTGCACCAAATATTATAATACAATTATTATATACAACGTAAGATAGACGCCGATGAAAACATATACAATCCGGTGCCGGATCTAAGACATATTATAGTGACGCCCGCATTTTTCTCAATTTATAGAAAATTTGTCTTTACGAAAAAAATTTCGTTTTTTCATTTTTTTTTTTTTTTGAAAAAAAATTTCAATGTTGGTCTGGTGTATTAAACGCACAAAATGATGTATTGTAAATAAAAATATGAACATAAAAGATGTTTCGAGGTATTTAATAAAAAAAAAATTAATAACTAGCAGAAAAACCAATTTTAAAAACTTGTTTCATAGGCCTTCTTCTTTGCAACGAAATCGTTTGTTGCATCATCATAATTAATTCTTCGTCCATTTTTTTGTTATATTTTTATGCTTAGCATATTATTTTGCTCTGTTATATATACAGTAATAAATATGTTTAAAAATTAATACACTGTGTATAGGTTGGTACAGTATTAATATACAACTGCAGTACAGTTAGTTACTGTAACTAAATCATGAAGGTTTAATATTGTTTTATTTTTCTTACGGTTCGTTTCTTCTTCAAATTAATAAATTCTTGGCTTTTTTCATCTTATGTAATAAATGTTGAAGTAACTTTGTACGAACCACGTCAAAGACAAGGAGAACGCTCTGCCCCATAGACCCGGCACTAATTGTATCAAATACTACATAATATCGTGTATAATATAATTAAATATTATGTCAGTCTCATAGTTTTTTATGGATAAATAATAATGTTTTAAAAATATGTAATACTAATTTTATTTTTCTAATTGAATATAATAAAATAAAATATTATTTTTCATCCACGATTTTTGCGTATACAATTTTATGGCTTGAATAATTTTCATTTGGCACATTTCATTGATTCTCCTTTAAATTAAAATATTGTCGATTCTCTCCACAGGTTCTTTTCGACAGACATTTGAGATTTTAAACCCACTAAAGAACCGACTAGTGATCATACAATGTTTATTCTTGAATCAAAAACACTTTGTCTGTCTCAAAAATTGTGTATATTTTATTATTGAATATAAAAACATCACAAAAAATGGTAACTTTTAATAATCCCCATTCGTTTTAGCGTTTAGGGAAAATAACTAAAAAGAATTTGAAAAAAAATAAAATAATTGACGTCTATACCTTAAAATATTCGAGATTCTGGTAACTCTGGTAATGAGTATCTATCTAGTATCTATATATCTATGCGCGTAGAATTAGGCTATTATATCATAATTTATATAACATATGCTTATAATTTGTAGTATTATTTACTAAAATTTGACTTATCATGTCAATACTGATAGAATAAAAGTCTAAGCTCAAAAATTTAAATTTTTACTATTCTAGTTTTTATTATTTAAGATTAAAAAAAATATTATATACAATCTACTACTACTATACGGTTAAGCAAGGACTATGAATAAATTATTTATAGCAAAATTAACCCTTAGAGCATTAGCATAAATATATATGTATCATAAATATTAAATATTTGAATACACAAATACATGAATAACAGTATTATAAATTAGTGCTGCTCATAAGTCTTATTTTAATTTCATTCAAACTAAATTAAAAAATTGATTAAAATAATTTCATCGTTTATCATGATTACCTAAATGATACATCATATATATATAAATATTCAATTTTATTATATTGAAACAATAAAATTTTTAATTTATTAATATCAAATAACTAATAAGCTCTCTGGCATTAGGTACCTAATTGTCTTTAATTTTGTTGTTACTTTACTTTCATACAGTGATTGAACTATATCAATAAACTATTATATTAATAATAATTATGTAATAACCTAAACAACCGTGTTTTTTAATGATCTATGTAGGTACTAAGTTAAAATATTTTTTTTCGTATTATGTTTTAATGATTTTTTACTAACAACAAATCTATTTTAGTTTTTAACTGACTCTAATAGTGTTTGAAATTAATGCAATAAGATTTATATTGTCAACTTATATAGATGATAGGAAAGGTAAAGTAAGGTCAAGCTTTATTTATACTTTTGGGCCTTTCAAAGAAAAATATACATTTTCTAACAATACAAAAATATAAAAGTTACGTTTGATTTTTCAAATAATGAACTACTTACTGTAGGAAATATTTTAATAAAATGTGTCGATTAGTAGTTTAGGTAATTATTATTTGTACTTTTTTGTTAACTACTCTGTTATGTAAATTAATACTTTATTATGACTCGTTCATAATAAAACAATACAAGTACAGAATTAATTTGACATACATGAATTGTATGTACTATGTGTTTGAAGGAAAGTAAATAGAATTATGGTGTCACGCACCTGTCATCACTTGCATTTGGTAATATACCGAACGCACACTCCGGTCGTTACTATCAGTCAATGACACTACAACTCAATCACAGAGTACTTTTGGAGTATATCATCAAAAAAAAAAATCCAAACTGTTCCACCCTTGTCGTCTCCATTATTTTCACTCGGGCAAATGTCTGCCACATTTGTTGTCCTCATTTTTTTCTTGATAAATCCTATTTTTTATATGTATATATATATATACGTACATGAGTCAAAATTAAACGTTCCAGAAAATAAAAATAATATCAAACAAAAGGAACAACAACAAAAAAAAATAGTTATAATAATAATAAAAATCCACCAACGGTATATAAACCGAATCGATGGTCCTTGAAATGGAAGAGCGAGTGCGCGTGCGTGCGTGCGTGTGTGTGTGTTCGTGTGTGTGTGAGCGTGTAAATATATACCCACACTACTGCAAATAGTCAGCAATGGAGGAAACCCTGCTTCACCGGTTACACGGAGTGTGGGGTGAACAAGACCAACGGCAATTTCCTATTTCAATTTTTCAACCCGTTTTCCGGCCCGCTAACCACTGCAGCAGCTAGCGCGTCAGAAAATTTAATCAACCTTCCCGCCGCTCGTACCGCCGCCGACTTCACTGCTGTGCCATACAAATATACAATACACTACAATTGCCGACTACTATAATAATAATAATAATAATAATAATAATAATAACAATATTGTATTGTACACCACTATTTACCGATACTGTTACTACTACTTCTAATACTATATTCTACGACTACGACTGTTAACACTAATCCATATAACTGTTATTATCATCGTCGACTGTCCGCAGTTAACGAAACAACGAGGTGGAAGGGGATGGCCACTAATCAAAAAACCGCATTTTCTGAAACCGTCGAGTATAAGAGACATTAACACGAAGACCCTAGCATGTTCGCCGGTAGGTAGCAGAGCGGCAAGATGACCGTTTGTCCGAGATGAGTTAATAATATGACAACCAGACGACAACACCTCGATTGTTTCGAATCGATCGAGTCCAGACTTATGTACTATGTACCTCGACTTAGATTGAATGTCACATTTATCATTGGTTCTGGCTGTACGGTGAAGTAATGAAATAATTATACACAATATGAACCTACTGAAATAAAATTGTTAATAATATGTCATGAGCAAAACTGCTATATTGTTTTTATTATTTTTGTTGTCACCGTCAGCTACGGCTACAAAGTGCCATCTGTCCATCTCGATTACCAAAGTTGACAATAAAATACAGATTACAAACTGTCAATATGGGAAAATAACATTTTGTTTTTTCTTAACATATTTTGAACATCTTTGGTTGGTTTAGATTGGATCGACCATCTGTTATTATTACATTATATTATAATAAATTATGATTTGCTATTTACAATAATAATAATATAACTTTCTTTTTCTATTATATTTCGTTAAAATTCAATAATTTCGTAGACATTTATTTTCACCATCTCGTTTAAACATTAGGAATTACGCGACCCCTGTACCAACTACAAGATGGTGGCCAATAAGAAATTATCCCGTTTTTTAGAAAAACAGTAATTAACCTGGTTAAAATAATATGAATATTTACAAAACAAACTGTCATAAAATTATTTTTAATAAATTAAAAACTAGTTATCGTACGATTTAAAAGAATTTATCACACGTTTTTCAACAACAAATAGAAACAAAACATTCCAATCTTGGCTTGTCTTCCTATACCAGAAAATTACGAGATGAGGGCATATCTAAAGAGTTTAATACGCAGTCATTCGAATTCATATTATAATCATTTTAATATACGCTCAAACTCCTAAACCGGTCGGGTTGATATAATATCACATGGAGCAACTCATCGGACCAATTATGTCACTTGTCGGGAAAATATTCACTAATTTCATCTCCATGTGGTTATGAAACTTTGTGGTGTATCCGTCGAATCGTAAATAATACGTTTTCTGGTTTTCATACACTGTTATAGTATAATATGAAACCTGCAGAATTATTACAATAATTAACGTGCGATTGTGACAGTATCTACACCGGAATATCGCGAGTAAAGTATGACCTGTTGAACAAAAGTAGTGATCGATTTAATTCACTGCACGCTGCTTAAAAAAGATTATTAAATTATACCCTGACGACGTCGACTTTGATTCAGGCCTGCACGGTAGTCCATCGATTGGCGATTTCGTTTGCGAATTCGACGAAGGTACCCTTTACCCAAAATGCTGATATTCAATGGTTGAAAATCGCGGGCGAGGAGCCATTAACAACAACAATAATGATAATAATAAAAATAATAATAACAATTGAAACTCATTTTATTATTATCACTATTATTCCGTTAAAGTAATAATATTAAATGTATAGAAGGTGTGCCGACAGCGATCGCATAGTTTACGTCGAAAACGCGTACCTAACCTAACCTGTGTGGCTTAGTTTACCAAAGAAACTCGATTCCGGCCTGAACGACCATATAGTAACCGTATATTTTATGGTTATGGTATAATAATAATATTAATATACGGTCAGTATAAAGCGGTTTGCTAAACGGTTATGTCGGTAACTCAATGCTGCCGATTCACCGCTGCTGCTCCCTCGCAATCTCACCACCTTTAACTACATCACCATCACCACCACCTCAACCAGTCCACCACCATCTCCACCGATGCGACCTCAAAGCATAATTTCTTATTCGAACCCGAATTATAGCGCCGTCGTCATCACATAAATTCACTACCCGAACATTTCGTCCACATTTTATTTTTCATATCATAGGGTTCCTATATATTTTAATAGCAACAATAAGCACTGCAGTGAACCGCGAGTATTATATTACTATGTTAGTATATCTATTTCTGTCATAATAATTAATACTATATAACTCATTCCGACCGAATCGTTTACTGTCTGTCGAGAGGGGATTTTCCATATCATATTTTTAGCTGCGATGCCACGTTTAATGTCGTTGTTGCAAATATTGGTGGACGTCGGTCATTGCAAAGCAACGAACAATAACTGAAACCGACAACCAGTCGGCTACGAATAAGACTTTCATCTTAGATTACGGTATCGTGTGTGAAGTTTTACGACGTTTATGTGGCACTCATCTATGGCTATCTTCAAAAATGTATTGAATCGATCGTTCAGAGTTCATATATGAAAATATAACATTATATAGGTAGTGGCAACGCCAATGCAATCATTTATTGCTCATTGTCTTTAATTTAGATTTTACTCATTTCAGGTGAAGCTTCATGGTATGAGGGGGATAAAAATCGACTCGCCTCTTGTCACCATACACCACTATAGTGAGTCAAATCCGAAATCATATAAAATCCAAATAATTAGCGACCGA